CTAGCAAAGTAATGCTCAAAATTCTCCAAGCCAGGCTTCAACAGTACATGTACTGTGAACTTCCAGATGTTCAAGCTGGATTTAAAAAATGCAGAGGAACCAGAGATCAAATTGCAAAAATCCACAGGATAATCGAAAAAGCAAGAGAGTTCCAGTAAAACATCTACTTCTGCTTTATTGACTATGCCAAAGCCTTTGACTGTGTGGATCACAACAAACTGTGGGAAATTCTTCAAGAGATGGGAATACCAGACCACTTGACCTGCCTACTGATAAATCTGTATGCAGGTCAAGAAGCAACAGTTAAAATCGGACATGGGACAGTGGACCGGTTCCAAATTGGGAAAAGAGTATGTCAAGGCTGTATATTATCACCCTGCTTATTTAACTTATATGCAGAGTACATCATGCGAAATGCTGGGCTGGATGAAGCACAAGCTGGCATCAAGATCACCGGGAGAAATATCAATAACCTCAGATATGCCGATGACACCATCCTTATGGCAGAAAGTGAAGAACTAAAAAGTTTCTTGATGAAAGTGAAAGAGCAGAGTGAAAAAGCTGGCTTAAAACTCAACATTCAGAAAACTAAGACCATGGCATCTGGTCCCATCATATCATGGCAAGTAGATGCGAAAACAATGCATACAGTGACAGACTTTATTTTGGGGGGCTCCAAAATCACTGTGGATGGTGACTGATCTGATGCCAGGAAAGACTGAAGGCAAGAGAAGGGGACGACAGAGGATGAGAAGGTTGGATGGCATCACTGACTCAATGGACATGAGTTTGAGTAAGCTATGGGAGTTGGTGATGGACAGGGAAACCTGGCGTGCTGCAGTCCATGGGGTCGCAAAGAGTCGGACACGACTGAGTAATGGACCTGAACTGAATGATAGTTTTGGTCCTAGTTTTTTTTAAGGAATCTCCATGCTGTTCTCCATAGTGGTTATATCAGTTTGCATTCCCACCAACAGTATAAGAGGCTTCCCTTTTCTCCACTCTCTCCAGCATTTATCATCTAGATTTTTTTTAATGATAGTCTTTCTGACCAGTTTGAGATGATACCTCATTGTGGTTTTGATTTGCATTTCTCTAATAATGAGCGCTGCCTTAGTTTTGATGTACCGAAATCATTAACATAACTCTCCTACACCTGGATGCCTCACCTGGCGATGTGCCCACACTCACTGTGCGTGTCCCAGCGCCACCACACTAAGACAGTGACCTCCATGTCACTTCAGAGCCATATCCTTACCTGTTGGGTAACCAGCAGCACAGAAGGCCGGTTGTGGACAATTAGCTGACTTGCTTTAGCCTGGAGACTCGAAAGGAAGCCCTGATTTACTTTTAATATTCCTCTGATAGATTTGACAGGACTCCAAAATTGCATGGAACTTGTAGTGATAAAACGTGACTCGAACTAAAAAACATGCGCATACTGCTCTCCCCACCTCGCCCCATTCATAGCTTCGGTATTATAAGCATTGTGTTAATACAAATCTGGAAACCAAAGAGGTACAATGAAAACCGAAAATTCCCACAGCAGCCGCATCTCGGATCTGTCTGGGCGCCCTCTCAAGTCTCGCGAGAGAACAGGACAGACGCCGGGTTTTCCCTGTTTCTCGCGAGAACGAAGGACTTCAGTTTTCGGCTCCCAGCGTTTCCGGGGCAACAGCAATGGCGTCCGCGGTGTCTGAGCGGCTTTTCTCGCTGGAGCTACTCGTAGACTGGGTATACCTTGAAGCCCGGCTGCCGCAGCCACCCTTGGTTGCGGAAGAGGAGCAAAAGGAGGAGGGAGAGACAGCATCGCCGCCGCTGCCCTCGCGCAGCCTGTGCCCCGCGGTGGCCTTCCGTCTGCTGGACTTCCCCACGCTGCTGGTTTACCCTCCCGCCGGGCCCGCCGCCCCCTCCCAGGAATCTCGGCCTGGCCTGGTCAGCTTCCGTCGCGGCAAGTCCTGTCTCTTCCGCCTGCAGCCCGCCACCCTGCACCAACTGCTCCTTCGGACCCCGCTTTACACCTTGCTGCTGCAGCTGCCCCCCGGGCACCCAACCCCTGCCCCGCAGCTCCTGGGGTCCTGCAGCATCTCTCTGGCCGCGGCGGTCCCCAAGATCTTAGGGTCCGCCGCCCCCGGCAGCTCCCAGAGTCATCGGGGAAGTTTCCCGCTGTGTAACCCAGACGGGGAGCGGATTGGGGACATTGCCCTGGGTTACCGCCTGACTGATCTGGGGAGCAGCTTGTTGGGCCATCTGGAGCGGCCAGTCGCTTCCACAGGAGGTGGAGTGGAGGGTATGGAGGTGCAGAAGTCAGTGGAGGTCAGCCCCCAAACCTGGCAGGAAAACCAGCAGCTGCAGCAGCCAGGCTCAGAGCCAAGCCCAGGAGATGCTGATAAGCCTCTGGTGGATGTAAAAATCTCAAGGGCAGGGAAGGGTTTGAAGGGAAGAGCTTTCCATAGCAAGGCTGACTCTGATTACACGGATTCTATGGAAAATGGCAAAACCAACTCTGTTATGTGTTCAGAGGGTAGCAGTGAAAGGAGTAGCCGCCCAAATCAGGAAGACACAGAGGTGGAACTTGAAACTAACATAATTTGCCCTCCTCCTCTGTATTACACTCATTTGACTCAAGAAAAGACACCCCCTAAACTGGGTAAAATTACCATTGAGCCTCAAATTAATGCACCTGAGGAATGGGATGATGGTACTTTCCTGAAAGAAAACCTTGTAAATCCCCCAACACATACTAATCCTCCAGAACATACAAATTCTGCAACAGGTGAGAGTGGTCCAGTGCTTGTAAATCCTGCACGCGTTCAGGATACAGGAGCAAGTAGTCAAACTACAGATCATCCTCCAACTGAGCAAAATAGAATTAATACTATAAGGCAGCTGCCTTTGTTAAATGCTTTGTTGGTTGAGTTGTCCTTGTTATACAACCAACCCATGGCAAGCCCTACTCATATACATCCTCACTTAGCCTGGTTATATAGAACTGAGGATAAGAAGTCACCAGAATCTTCAGTGAAATCCACCTGTAAATCCGAATCTAAGAAGGATAAGCTTTCTGTGGGGGGAAATGAGAAGTCGGTGAGTCTTCAGTATAAAAAGAACCAAACTGAAAACCTTAGGAAAGGTAAATATTTTGAAAAGAAAGGTGGTGCCCCCCCAAAAAGAGTTTCAAGGGGAAGACTACTTTATGGCTTAACAAACACACTTAAACTACGTTTAAAACAAAAAAATCCTAATATGTTGGTAGAACATGAAAAGAGAGAAGAGTATAGAAAAATGCAAACACAGATGTTAGGTGCAAAACTCAGAATTCCATCATCCAAAGTTAAGATACTAAGTTTTGCTGAACTGTATCAGAAGCCACATGAACTGCCTAAAGATAAGTGTTTAGAATCAGATGCATCTTGCGCTGAAAATAGCAATACCTCAAAGCAAATTAGTGTAGTTGATGATGACCCTACCACAACCAAAGAAACTAAACTGAAATGTGAAACTGAAAAGACAGCTGATTGTGATGAAAATAGAAGCAATAATGGTTTTTTGGGAGAAATTGTGAGTCCTGCAAATTCTGTCATCTCAGAAAGGTTTATTCGTACAGATATTTTGGAAGGAAATGTGGAAGTGAAAGTCCAAAGTCCAGGTGTTTTCCAGCAGGTTGCAGTAGTTGACAGAATTGTAATAGATAAAGAAATAGATGACAAGCAAGTCAAAATCACTAGTGATGACATTCTAACTGCTGGTATCAATGAAAACAATCCAGCTACAAGTAGTTGCTCTGACAGCATCTCAGACCTAAAGTATTCAGATGACTTCACCAGCCCTTGCAGTTCTGAAGACACCAGCAGAATTTTACGAGCTCGTGATAGCAGTCTAGGGACAGAAAATCCAAAACACAGTCAACATACAAGCAAGTCCAGTGAAACAAAATTGTCCATAAGGAAAAACAGCAGTGAAAAGAGTTCTGTTCTTAGCCCACCTTTTTCAGCTGGATCTCCAGTACTCTCATATAAAAGATTTCCTGTTTCAAAGACTCAAGGTAAAAGTTTGGAGGAAGCATCTTCCAGTGATTTCTCTTCATCACACTGGACTGAGGAAAAAGAAAACCAGAGAGACCAAAACAGTACGCATAATTTTAAAGTTCTAAAGCAGGATTGTGACATCTCTGCTAAACCTAAAACAAGAACAGTTTGCAAGTCCTCAGAAAAAAGCCAGTCACCTCGGACATCTCAAGTGAGTTCTTACCTGCCTTCTAATCTGTCGGAACTAGAACTTAATGTCCTGGATAGCAGTACTTTAGATCACTCTGAAGAAGACAGTGATGACCTTGGTTCACTGAACATTTCCAAGCAATGCAAAGATATTTGTGAATTAGTAATAAGCAAACTTCCAGGATATACAGTGTAAAAATATGTGCTTTTAAATAACATTTAATTTGTTTTATAATCTGTGTGTACTATTAGTGAAACAATTTTAATAGCTGTACATAATTTTTAGTACATAAATTAATGTGAATAATTCTTTTTCAGAATATAAGTGTTTCGTCATTCCTTTGGGGTTTAGGATTCTGCCACTAAATCTGACAAAACTAATCATGAGATGATCTTATAACGTAGGTAAGATTTAAGTTGTTTAACCTTGTAAAAATAAAAGTATCTTCCTAAACTGGCCCTATTAAAGTATCCTAAAGCTGACTTCACTCACACCATTGAAAACTGAAGGCTAGTTAACAAAGATACCTTCAAATTTTAATGGGAATAAATCATTTAATGGATATAGAAGACTTACTGTATGAGACACAGAAAGGTACAGAAGAATTTAGGGTATAGCTACTGCAGTTATAAGGGCTTACCGTTTTATTTAGACGTGAGTTCTTTAGGGAGATCTTCCAGGAACCATTCGCATTCCACATCTCTAATAGGCGGAATCTTTTTTATATGCTGCCATAGTGCTGTGTGCCTTTTCTTAAACCACAATCTGGGTGGCTACTTGGTTAATGTTTATCTTGTGCTAGACCTAAGTTCTGTGATTGAAGGGACCATGTCTGTTTGAGCAGCAATATGGTCTTAGTACCTGGCACAGTCTCTGGCATATGGCTGGGGTGCAATAAAAGCATTTGTTGAACAAATAAGTGATGGCCGTACACTTAACATACCTAATGAGAGGGGTTAGAATTAAGCAGTAAAACAAGCAGAAACCTAAAAAATATCCTTCTTGGATACTGGCTATTTGACTACAGTATTTTCATTTTGCTGAAACACCTTTTGGTGTTCTCTGAAGTATTTGGAGAAAGGAGCTAAAACAGGTGTCTTCCTATACAGTTTATTGTATAGAAATTCAGTTTATTGTCATTTCAGCTTTTTCAAGTTATTTTTAATGTATGATAGTTTGTTTCTATGAAATCTAGTGATCATTTCTTTATAATTTCTTCCATTGTTTTTATATTTAGATCTTATTCTGTGTGCAGATATTTACATGTGTTTTCTTCTGTGTTATATTTAAATTTTACTCTTAAGTTTTAATATAGCTAATACTTTTGGATATATGAGGTGAGGCCCTAATTTTCCTAAGTAATTAAATAATTATGTAGGTTTTATCTTGACTGATCATAATAATAGAATTTAGTTAGATGGTGAGATGAAGAGACTATATTTTGAGGAGAAATATGAATAAGGAATAATGATGGGAATGAACACAATGTCACAATGTACTCATAGGACTAAGACCTTATGTTATCTTGATTAGAATGGTAGAGTCACACTACAGAGTGGTAGAAGAAAAATTTGTTGAGTAAGAAAATACCAGATTGTAGGAGTTTCAAATGTCAAGCATACTCATAAAGTCCTAAGCAATAAAATCAGTATTTTAATGTATAAGTGAGCACCAGTAAGTAGTCATGACATTTTGAATATTTTAAATTATTGAAATAAACTTTTAGAGGTCCAGAAATTATACCAGTGAAAATTTTGGAGTATGAAATGTTTTTAATGGCTATGATCTTACTTTTTTGGTAAATAGAAAACATAGTGTTTCATTTCACAAAATCAAGCTAATTTACTGCTAGATGCTGCAGCAGGCTATTCAGATGACATCATTTTGGCCTGGAAATTGTTAGCAAGTTTTCATTATCATAGAGGAAGCAGAAAATATAAGCAATATTAGAATAATCAGAGAAATAATTCTTTAAAAACTGAGAGTAAATCGTTGTGTATGATGAGAATGGGTAAGGAAAATGGTGACTTCAGTATATTTAAGGTACAACAAAGACTGAAGAACTTTAAATTACAAAATTGAGTAGCTAAATAAGCTTCTCTTTGAATTATTCCATGAACACCTATTTCTAGAATTGTGGAGGTGGTGGTTTTTCCAGCTTAATTCTAATGAAATACCTGTTTCATGTATTTAGCACTTCCTGTTTGAATCCTATATTCAAATTGTACTTCATGTTTTAATTCTAAAACCTGTAAACTTAGTACTTTAAGAATGTCATAATAGTTACTACTCCTGAAGCCTTAAATATTTATTATCTCCTTAAATTACTTAAAATCATTGAAGCATGAAATAGTTGTTTTAGGTTAAAAATGAGATGAGAAGGATCCAGCAAGTCCTGGCTCACAAACTGTCATTCTGTACAAGGATCAGATATTTTAATCCAAATTAAAACATAAATAGCCTGAAGGATGGCTATATCTCTTGGTCCAAGGACAGTTTATGACTAGGCAAATATAAATATTATGTATCTAATAGATACAGATATTATTTATCTTATTTAGATGTTGCTTTGTTATGAAATTTCTTTGCCTTGCCAGCAACACACTGTGATAATTAAAAACTTGTTTTTTAAAATTGATAGTCTTTTCCTGAACTTTCAGAGTCATAAATAGGGAAGAGTGCCACTTAATTGTAAAACTGAGCTGCTGCAATCCAGCTTTTCTGAGCAGCTTAGGTATCTAAACTGCTGTGTTAGGGCTACCTCTCTGTAATATTAAGAGGCAACTGTCAACAATGACAAGTTCTTTGAACTGTTATTAAAGCAGATTCAAAGAGGACTGTGCAGATGCATATGTTCAATATTTTGTTTTTTCTGGAGTCATCTGCATACTATTCATGACATTTCTAAATGCAAAGAACAGTGATACTGAACTCTTAGGCACTTGTGGCTCTGTTGAGAGCCACCTGTTCACATCTTGATTAAATTAATGTTTCTGCCTGTACAAGCAGTGCATTTATTATGCAGTCACATTTAGGAACCAAATTTTATTTGTTACAAACATACAGGTCAAGATTATCAATTAAAAAAAAACAAGGTTTTGATTATCATATTGTGTTGTTGGCAAGGCAAAAAGATTCATAACAAAGCAACATCTAAATAATATTTATATTTTATTTGTCTATTAGATACATAATATTTATATTTGCCTAGTCATAAACTGTCCTTGGACCTTGAGATATAGCTGTCCTTTGGGCTATTTATGTTTTAATTTGGATTTAAAATATCTGGATCCTTGTACAGAATGACAGCTTATGAGCCAAGACTTGCTGGATCCTTCTCATTTCTAACCTAAAACAATATGAGGGTAATTTACTTGGTCAAGGACCAAAACATTTTTACTGTTTTTCCTCCAGAGATCTAACTGTCATGCCAGGAAATATTAGACCTCAGAATGAGCTTTATTAGGTTGGAGTGCCAAGCCATAGTATTAGAAATATTTTCTTATTTTCCAAACATTTCTCATATCTCTGTTATACAAGTATTATGTATATCAATTCTAGAAAAAATTAGAAAATTCAGATAAGAAAAAATTTTATCTGCTTTAAAATTTAAAAGGAAGGTTATGGTCCTTTCCTTTCAAAAATCCCACTGAAATGAGAGAAGAGATATAAAAATAAGAGTGAGTCCCAGAGAATAAGGAAAATGCTGGTGGTGGACAAGATACTTAGAGGAACTTCCAGAAGAGACAAAGCAGATGGAATCAGGTTGCTGAAAAATGGACTAGAAATCTATTCTTCAACATAGCTCAGGGAGGTGCTGCTGGAGAGATGAGAAGATGGTGTTTTCTAACAAAGCCCAGAGATAAACATCAAATTCAGTGGGCAAACCTTAAGAAGGAGCAGGTCATGGGACACAAAGGGTAGAAAGCAAACGCGGAGTGTGATGGAGAAGCTGGGGCTGGGCTAAAGGTTATCTACTCGAAGAGGTGTTGGGACCAAAGAGAAAAAATATTTTTGCTTTGGGTGGCAAAACATGTTAGCAATGTCTTTCTCAATTTTATTGGAAAGACCACTAATCCTAGTGGCAAATTAAAGTGTTAAAGCCCTGGTCTTTGGAGACAGGTATTTTTTTTCTTTGAGATTATTTCTTCATTATAAGACTAGTTTGGGGGTTGAATCAAATAACATTTATCTAGCATATATAACAGCGAATGCACCTGGACTGTTGGTGTATTTAATAGTTCAGAAAATGTACCATGTATCTGTATTCTTGCCCTTCGGGGGATATATTTTCAATAAAACCTCAGTCAGGAAGTCAGCTCTTCCTTCCAAAGGTTAAAACAAATGTTTCATTTGACATTGTAACTGAGTAGGAGAACCCTTGGCAACAGGAATCCATGGAAAGTTCTGGGCTTTAATAAAGAATGTTTGTGTTTGTCCAGCAGCAGGCCAGGGTAAGAGATCAGACAAGCTCCTGAGTAACAGTACAAGATAGCAGCTGAAGGCCATAAGGTAGAAAGAAGGCACGTGCAAGGGAACAGGTCGACAAATCACGAAACGAGGCAGTTATTACAGGTTCAGAAACCTATACTTGCAAACTTGACTATTCAGGATACTTTGTCTTGTTTATTTTTTGTTTTGTTTTCTTCTTGGTTTTAATATAGTTCTCTTTGAACTATATTGTAGTTGAGCCATAAGAGCAATAGGAAGTGGATTTGGCTATGGCTCATAATTGAGCTGAAACCCTAACGGAGGAGCAGTAAACCCCCAGGGTCTGCATAGTGAAAGACAGAAAAAGATCCAACCCCTCTTCTGTCCAGAGATTTCTCCTTCAGCTGTTCTCCCCAAGAAACCTTGGAGGGTTTTGCCTTTTGTTTCATTAAGGGAAGCTGCTCAAATTCAGAGTTTCACACCCAACAGTGGCCTGGAGGACTGTATTTCCTTAATTGTGATTTTTATGTTAATGCTGAGGAGAGAATTGGGGCAGGATTTGGATTCAGAGTGACATAAATAATGGATTGCTTTATATGTGGAAGAGCCTGTTGTCAGCAGTGTTAGTCTGAAAATGATTGCTTGCATATCCAGAATTCTTAAGGGTATTTCCACATACTTTGGACAGTATTTGTTAACCTGAAGGAGGAGATCTTTCTGATCTGGAAATGTTCAAGGCATGAACGCTGGCATTGTGTCAGCAAAGTTCTCCATATCCTTGACTCCCTCTGTAGTGGCCAGAAGCCAGGTGTTTAGGGAGGCACGTTTTTTCTTTTCAGATGGCACGGCCTTACATTCCAGTGCACCTTATCTCAATCTATGATTTCTTGCTACTCTCTTGCTACTTCACTGATCACAGCATAAGCGCATACCATCAGCATCTAAGAATCTATGTGAGAGGTGAGATTTCACT